AAAAAATTACTCAATAAAGCAAAGAATTTCTTGTTAGTATTATTTAATATTAGTACAGTGTACAGTGAATCAGTGTTAGTGTTCTTTCTTGAATAAAGTGAATAGTAGCAAATGGCTCGTACAAAGCAAACAGCCCGTAAATCGACTGGTGGTAAGGCCCTGTCTCCACAGGAAAACACTGATGTCGTGATAACCATGTCACAAACTATATTTCCAATGGAGACCGCCTATTTCTTATGTGCTGCAATATATGTCAGCGCTTATTGCTTGACATCTATTGCAGGCAATTCGATAGTTTGACAGCCATATTTTCATTTGAAAGAAAGCGTGCTGCTGGTAACATCGATGAAATTTTGATATTAAATCAAAATAAAAATCTGTTCCGTATTGGATAATTTATGATTACGTTTTAGGAAATTATTTAGCTAGTTTTTTAAAGATTTAAATATTTTCCAACACCGAAATTGAGAGAATGTTGTCTGGTGGCGTCATGCGGCAAATGCTTATTTCAAGACATCAAAGTGCCCACACACAAAAACTTCCAATCACATTGCTCGTCAAAATGACAGTTGGTAGGCCATCGCTGTTCGCCTGTGGAGTTCTGCGGTGAGGCACCACGCAAACAATTGGCAACAAAAGCTGCCCGTAAGAGCTCATTTACACACGGCGATTTTTGTTGCCGCAACTCGACGTTTGTAGGAGAGAGCGTGACGAGGAAAGGAGAGGGGCACCGAGTTGCTCGTGCTAGGGATGGGTAGTGGGGGATTGAAATTCGATTTGTTCCGAATTTCGAACATTGCCCAACCCTTCGATTATTCAATTCGAAATTCGGTGGTGCAAATTCGATTTAATTCGAATTTTCCAACAATTTTTTGAAGTGAAACTTCTTAATCGAGTTCGGAGATGTTTGCGTTAAATATTAACACCATGTTATAAAATCTGTATCGTTCGTTCGATTTTCATAAAGGAGGTAGGTGTCAAATGAAAGGGGTTGCCCAGTAGATGTGTAATATGGTTTTAGCTTTGTGCCATATGAATGTATGTAAGAAAATCAAAATCAAATTATTTAATAAGTTAAATAAATTACCCCAATATGGGTATCAATCGAAATGATTTTGAATAAACTTTATTTTTGAATTGCATTTAAGAGGGTTGCCACCTGTTTGAAAAGTCTAATTTAGTTAAAGAAGTGTTATGCTTAAAATAGTAGTAAGTAGTTTTCAAAAAAATAGTTAGAATAAATGTCTGAGCGAAATTAAAGGTTAAGACATAGATATATAATAAAATTTCATGGGAAATATTTTCGTAGAACATTTTAACCTATTAGCTCCCGCCTTGAAAGGTAATTTTGATACTTACTTCAATAAATCCCGTAAAAAGCAAATTCGGAAGGTCGTTAGAGGACTGGTGTACTCTAGAAAATTATTCTCCGGAAAATTTTACTAGGGGTCTTCTCAGGCAAAAGCTTCGTGCTACCAACGTAAAAGCCTCTACAAATTTAAAATAAAGAACCAACAAAAAAAGTACTTTTTGCAATTTTTTTTTAATCTAAGAATAACAGTTCCTTCTTGGCACAGATTTTTTGCCTCGATGCATCAGATCGAAAAACATGTATTCTTTACTTGCATCCCAAAAATCTGAGATTATTTTATAATTACAGATTAACAAGGGACGAATTTTATATGGCTAATCTCTTGTTCTAGTTACAGATTAGGGTGTTAATCTCGAAAATGAGGATAACCTACTTATATGTGAACCTAGTATAAGACAAATGGAGTGCCACACACGGTGATGGCAAATTTAGTCAGAAACAAGAAAGTTGAAGAGTTGATTTTTTTGGAAATAAATATGAAATTCGATTTTTCCTAGAAAAATTCGATTTATCCGAATTTTAGCACTCAAAGTTCGATTTCAAAAATTCGCCATTTTGGAGCTAAAATTCGATTAAAATTCGAATATCGAAGCTTCGAATATCGAATTTACCCATCCCTAGCTCGTGCTCGGGCAACTCGCTTTGTGCTCTCGTTCGTCTGTGTATATTGAGTTAGCGATTCACAGCTGACAACAACAATTGCATACACAAAAATCGCCGTGTGTAAATGAAACGAGCAACACCAAAAGGGAATGTGAAAAATCGCGTCGACAAAAGTTTCCGTGTTTAAACACAGTCTAAGAGTGCACCAGCGACTGGCGGTGTAAAGAAACCACATCGTTATCGTCCCGGTACAGTGGCTTTGCGTGAAATTCGTCGTTATCAAAAAAGTACTGAATTGTTGATCCGCAAATTGCCATTCCAGCGTTTGGTACGCGAAATTGCCCAGGATTTCAAGACCGATTTACGTTTCCAGAGTTCCGCTGTTATGGCTTTACAAGAAGCAAGCGAAGCATATTTGGTTGGCTTATTTGAAGATACCAATTTGTGCGCCATTCATGCCAAGCGCGTCACAATTATGCCCAAAGAAATTCAACTGGCTAGACGTATTCGCGGAGAGCCTGCTTAACGAAAAATCTCAATAAAAACGGTCCTTTCTAGCACCACAATTTTTTAAACAAGAGATCATCAAAGTTTTAACTATCAAAATACGTTTTATTTTGAATATACCTATTTTCAATATAAGCATTTTACCTACCGATTTTCACTCGTTTGCGAGTTATAAATTTGTGTACTGTACCTTTTGCATTTCAGTGTCGCTGTCAGTTAGTTTTATGCATGTGGTTCCATAAATATGTATGTATGTAGTGTGTCAAGTTGTTGTGGATGCATGTACATGTACGTAAAAGTATACTAAAATACATATGTATGTATGTAAAATTATTCTATATCCACTATGGCTTATTCGTTTATTGTATGTATGTACATATGTGTAAAACCAGTTTATAAATAAGACGCAATTTTGGCGCGAAAACAAGAGCATCGACGCTAAAAGTGTACGCATGTACCTACATATGAAATTTCTTTCGTACGTATGTATATACCTATCAAAATCATAAAAGAAGATTAGTCAACTCTTTTTAAGAAAATATATTTAATCTCTTTGTAAATGAATTTTGTCGTCCTGAAAAGGACGGTTTTGCTGCGTCGATGAAATATTTAAATTTGACTACAATGTGCAATTTATGCTTTCTTTTCGATTTTCTTGGGCAAAAGTACAACTTGAATGTTAGGCAAAACACCACCTTGAGCAATAGTTACACCAGGCAGAAGTTTATTCAATTCCTCATCATTGCGGATGGCCAATTGTAAATGACGTGGAATGATTCTGGTCTTTTTGTTATCACGAGCAGCATTACCAGCCAATTCAAGTACTTCAGCCGCCAAATATTCCATAACAGCAGCTAGATAAACTGGAGCGCCGGCACCAACACGTTCAGCATAGTTGCCTTTGCGTAACAAGCGATGAATACGACCAACGGGAAATTGAAGACCAGCACGGTTGGAACGAGACTTTGCCTTTCCCTTAACTGCTAGTAAACTCAAAGTGCGCTGCTTATATACTTTTTCATTTGGCCATCATTCATCCCCGTCACAATGTATTTAAATTCGTGTTTGCCTTTTCCGGCAAGTCGATGCGTTTGCCTGAATGTATTGTCGGAAAAA